TAAAGCAAAGACAGTCAATAGCTCCACATACATGCCTTCGCCCGAATCTAGGAAGCCACTAAAGCAAAGACAGGAGGACAGCGAGAAGGGGCATACAAGCCCAACCAGGTCAGGACATCGTGGTTTGCTGCATATCCTCCAATTTTGAAGATCGTACGCTCCCAAGATCCGGCGGTCATCATGTCAGCAGTTACACTACACAGCAGCAGCAGCATAGACGAGTCCAGCATGCAGCAGTACTGTAGTAACACATACACTATCATCATACCCCACACATACCCTCGCCCGAACCTAGAGAGCCACTGATGCGAAGGGAGGTGTGTGCTGGTGTGCTTGCGTGCCTGTGGGAATTGTGGGAAAATCACAGGAGCTTTAGTGAGTCGGCAGGGCTCACATGGGGGAGGGGACAGAGAAGGTACAGAAGTACAAGAACCAGGTATGGGTCTACAAGCCCTCTCACTGATCATTTCAGTGATCATTTGAGTATACTGAGGGAAGGGATTGCTGTACCCTTCTCGCGATAAAAATACCTCAGGCATGAACCGCAGGAGGGGGTCCAACCCCCCCCTCCTATGTGACCCCGGTTGGGTCGTCTAGCTAGTAGAAGTGGAGGATAGGGGCCAGAGGGGCAGACGACAGAGTCCAATGATGGGAGAAAAACAAACAAACAAAAAAAACTGAAGATAGAGTAGTTTAGGCGGCTTGACGACTGATCTTTTCGAGGTCTACAAGCCTAACCTGCCCTAGCAGCCGCGCCGCGACCACGCATCAACCCTTCTATGACCCTGTCTATGCCCACCGTCCTGTCGCGGGCAGCCCTCACGGTCTATGGGTGGAGATAGCTGTAGGGTCTACAGAAGTACACACGTCTCTTTCTGGTGTACTTCTGTCTCTCTCTCCCGCACTCACGCCTCCTTTTTTTTTTTTGCCGCAAAAAAAAAGCGCTGAGACCCAAAGGGGTTAACACACACGTAGTACACGTCTTTACCCCGAAAAAAGGTGGGACTGTCGCAACAATAAATAGGAGGAAAACACAAAACACACAGATGCATGATTACATCCACGTTGGTCTTGTGGACTACAGAACCACGTACGTACGCATAGACTACAGCAGTATACGATAGTCTACCCTACAGTCTGCGTACAGAGTACGACGGTGGCGCGCAAATACATGAAAAAATAGTTCATCGGGATTCGAACTGCCAACAACCTAGCCGCTAGATGCTGTAGACTACGCGTTTTTTTGCAAAACGCGCGAAGGAAATAGGCAGATAACACATATTTCGTGCGGTTACCAGTCGGGGATTGTTGGCTCTATACGTGCTGCAATAGGTTGGACTACCCCAAACACGTAGGCTTCTACTGCTGTCCAATGTGATTGGGACTCCCGCCTTCCTTTGCTGCTGCCGCTCCTGCTGCTGTTGTAGTTGTCTTGTGTTCATGGTAGGAGCTCTGATCTAATAATAGGGACGTTACTTTGGTCAGAGAACCTAGTCTCCACGGCGCTTGAAAGTATCTGCCGTCGTCGTTGCACAAGCACTCTGTACACATAGTTACGGCAGTCTACAGTAGGCTCGCGCATCGCAGATATGCCCGTGTTTCCGGGAAAGCTTCATCCTCGGCCTCCTCTCTCAAGGCAACAATCTGAAAACACACCGCACCTTTGCACAGCGTTGTCAAGGATAGGGCATTAGAGCAAAGGATAAGCCCACCGATGTACCTTCGACACTTCACGCGGAAGAAGCGGACAGCATCATCCTCACCGTCGTGGTTGTGCCGCACGCCGTTCCCACGTCGCTCGGTCGCCGATCTCACCGAAATCTGTTCTGCGGCATCATTGCTGCTGTCTCACTGGTGCCAGACCTTCTCTTTGTTTCCCCGTCCTCTCCCGTCCTTCCTCTTCCTTTCTCTCTTTTTCTCTCTCCCTCTTTCTCTGTCTCTCTCTGTCTCTCTCTCTCTCCCTCTCTCGTTCGCACGCGGGCGTCGTCGCTATGCACTAAACTGTGCACAAAAACGTTTCAAGTTCACAGACGACATGAATTCCCGCCGCGTTTGTCCCCCCGAGCGGCAACCAAGACAAGTAAGCGCAGACCGGACTGTGACATGCCACAAGCTGCGACGGGGGCATCAAAACGCGGGTGGATGGCTGGTTCAGTATGAAAGCGACTCGCGACAATCGTGGCTGACTGGTCGTGGTGTATAGTTCGCCGCAGGTGAGGTTTTGTCTGGGTGTGTTTTCTTCGATGCTGCGTGTCGAAAATGTCGGGACTATAAGTTGTTGTTGTTGTTTCTCACATTAGCTCTATAGTCCACAAAAAGTGGGGAGCCCGTGGTCTCAAAACCCGGCACATACGACGCCGCGGGGAAAATATAAATATATATATAAGGTACAAACCACTCGGAAAAAGAAAACAAACGAGTTCCCCTAAATCTTCCATCTACAACTTCCCAACATAATAATATAGTCTACACATGGATGGAGTAAAAATATGGAGCTCAAGCTCTTATTTTTGGCACAAAATCGAAGCGACTGTTTATTAAAAACAACTTTCTCTTTCGCCACTTTGGGAAAGCTTAAGTCATACACAAGATGGCTACCAAACTGCCTTGTTGGGCCTGTTACCCACAGGGGAGTTATCGTTGTATGCTGTCTGGGAAACTGTAGACATACAAGTAGCCTTTCGCTCACGCTATGGATTCATTGCTAATCTATCTTAGACTTTTTTCAAAAGACAGATGGATTTGTTGTGTGATGTAAAGAAAATAAAAAAAAATGATAGAAAGAAAAGAGGAGGTATCGCAGCGACGGTTCGAGAAAAGAGCCCTTGGAAACCGATCAAAATAAAACAAAAACAAAAATAAAGGAGGACGCTTCCCACACCCGCCCAAAGAAAAAGTCAAAGGGTAACGTACCAGCACCAGGCACTACGCACCAGGGCATGGGAGTAACGGAGAAAACAGGAAGGCGGCAGATGGGCAGACAGCCAGACCTACAAAAACAAAGGCAACAGCAAAGCGAGATCAAGGTACCCAACACAGCAGAGTAGGCAGGGAGGTCATGAAAAAACGAAACACAGCACAGAGGCCGAAGGCAATAGAAAGGACATACATAAAGGAGTATTGCATACAGCAGGGAGGGGACCAGGGCGCAACAACATCAGCCGGGTACATAGTTCGCCACAACTGCTGCCTCGGCCGCCCTACTCGCTTCTACAGCAGTGCCCGGTCGCTGTTTCTTCCCCCCCACCGCCGCTTCCCCGGCTCTCTTTCTCTTCGGCCCTGAGGCCGTACTCTCTGCTTCTGCTTCCCTCGCGCGCTGGCGCTTCGCGGACGCTTCCGCCTCCTGCCTGTGCCATTTCCTCATGAACCATGCCGCCCCGTCCTCGACCTTGTTGTACCACACCTCCGGGTCCTTGGCACTCTCTTTCCATTTTCCCCCCTTCCTTTTCGTCTCTTAAAATATGTTGCAAGGAACGCTGCTGCAGACTACCATGCAGACCCCTACTGAACGGCAGTGTGTACGACGAAATGCGGCCGCTATTCAGGGCAGGTCTCTAAACCGAACTACCAAATATATAGCAGTTAAACTGCCGGGGTGCGGCGGTACGACGTGGTTTTGTGGTCGCTAAACAGGGCATGTTGCTGAACAGGGGTCGCATTGTAAACCGGGCACCATAGACTACGGTACTGTATTGGAAAATAAGTACAAGTGCAAACACGCATCGTCTACAGAACCGAGGCACGCGGCCGCCCAAGTAGTCAACCTCGTTCGTAAACCTACCAGTTGGAAGTTATGGAATCCAACCTCTCTCGGGAGCGAGCAACTTGCAACTCTGAGAGAGGCGCTACTGCTGCGAACATTTCTCGAGGAGCAAAAAGCCGCCGATCCAGAGGGATAAGCTTGGCCAACAATGAAGGGCGAAGGGATGATAGACTACATGGTGGGTTACCCACGTTCGTCCATACCCAACATTTCTCCGACAAAACTGTGTGTACTCAAAACTTTCCTTACTGGAGCCCACTCGTGAGAAGGCCGAAACACCCAAACTCTGATTCTGATCCCAACAGACAACATGGTCAGCGTCCATGCACAAAACGTGGGTAATACATCAAGAGCATATGGAGGAGTGGTTTCCGGTGGTCGATTTCGGTGGGTGTATCCACCGGAATGTCGACAGAATTCGGGCAATCTGTTGAAGCCTTATGCGCCGCGGTGATGTGCTGCTGAAGACGTGCCCGAATGCCCGAAAGTTTGTAAAGGTTGATATCCATGCTGTGCATTGGCCCTGACCCTTTTGTCCAGGTTTAGAGCACCTCCGGACAAGCTGGCATAGCACCCACATTTCCTCCCTCCCCACGGGGCATCACCATCCTATTTCACCACAGATCCCCCCGCCACAACTTTCTCCACCCTCGTTGTTGCTGTGGCAAGCGAAGAGCGGACAACCATCAACATCAAGAGAAATACATGGTGCACGGCCACCGCTGCCGGTATTGTTGACAACGACCTACATCCCGAGCATAAAGCGTGTACGTTTGCGTTCCGACTGCTGGAGCTACTACATTTTCGTGGTATACCGAGCGTCAACTACAAAGCGTTTGGGGGGCCACAGTGATACCCGTGGCAGGTGTTAAAGTCGGACGACCGCCGTTCGGCATAGAAAGCAACGTTCCCTTGGGCACCGGCGGCGCTGACATCACGGCAGCGAACGAACGTGATTGGTCCGACTAGCGCAGGCTGCAGCGACGATACAGCAGCAACACCTAGCGCCGTGCTCCTCTGCCTTCAGGTCGCGATGTAATGCAGAGTGAGATCAAGAGGTGCATCATCTAGACGGGCTACCTCTATCTCTCTCTCTCCCTCTTCTCGACTACCCGTGAAGACTGTCAAGATACAAGGTTGGGGTTGAAGCGAAAAAACTGCTCGGTCGACAACGATCACGGGTGAGGAGCTTCGAGGGCGGCCGCCGTGCTCCCGGCCGCTTTGAAGAAAGAACGAAATGGGAGCAACCCCAAGCAACACGCGACAAAAGGAGTTCGTTGCGGAGATCGAGGGGTGAGACATGCTACGAGGTTTGCAAAGAGAGGGGATAGGGGGGAGGAGAAGAAAGGAAGAAGGGGAGATCCGCCAGTTGTTTTCCAAAGCACCTTGTCACAATCAAATAGGAAAGGGAAGGGGGGGGGGGGG